AAAAAAAAAAAAAAAAAAAAAGATTGGAAATGTCACCGGAAGTCCAGATTTCTGAAAACTCTGGGAGCAATGGGCTCCCATTCCAAGGCTCCTTTTACATCGCAACTGCTCACCTGACTCAGGTACACGATTCCAAGAGTTTGAACCCAAACTCCGCCACTTTCCAGTCCTGATGACCTCAGGCACATTATTTAGCCTAGCAGCACTGTAACTTCCTCATCTGTGACATGGGGACAGTACCAGCACCTACCGCATGAGGGCAATGGTGAGGATGAAAAGAGCAGACTCCAGTGACACTTCAGACAAGCATCTAACGGCATGAGTCATTTGTAAGAGAAAAGGCCATTAGAACAATAACATAGGAGAACAAAATTTCCTGTAGGTAGAACACATTTGGCTCTGTCAAAAATGAAAACAGGAGAAAGAAAGGCCGCTTGCAGCATCATCCTAGTTTTTCTCAGATTAGCTCCCCTCACCAAGTTCATCAGCCCAGTCATGGGTTGTCCCTCTGCTGTCCCGAGCCAGCGGCCTCCTCCATCTCGAGGCCCTGCAGGACTTCTCCATTTCACCATGGTCTCGTAAAAACCTAGGACACTGAGCACCCGCCCACCCAGACACCCAGCACCTTAGCTTTTCCAGCAATGTTCTTCGTAAATCAGTAAGCAAGGGGCAATTTCTCCCTGGGAGAACATGCACCACCCTCGGGAGCCTGCCTACCTCCGTTCCAGGAGGGGCCGCTCAAATTCACACTCGCCACCTCTGGGAACCTGAAGGAAGCCCTGCTACACCTTCTTCCATCAAAACCCTGGCGTCTGAGCCGGGCGTGGTGGCATACACCTGTAATCCTGGCACTCGGGAGGCTGAGGCAGAAGGATCTCTGTGAGTTCAAGACCAGTCTGGGCTACATAGTGAGTTCCAGGTCAGTTTCAAATACATAGTGAGACCCTGTCTCAAAAAACAGAAACAAAACAAACAAACAAAAACCCAGAGTCCAAAAGAAGCCCCTGGCCCAGGACTGGCAACCAGAGCCTTGTTCCCCATCAGGACTGCAGGTGGGGGCAGGGAGGCTTCTACTCTAGGAGCCACAGCCCAGGTGCTCCCTGGAGCTCCTGCCAGGAGACCTGCCACAGGAGGGGCCATGACCCAGAGCCAGAGGCCCTGGGGCCCCACCACGTCCTCTTTCCCTCTGGCCTGGGCCTCGTTAACCCACTGTCGTTTGGAAATAATGCACTTTTTTCTTCCTTTGAGACAGGGCCTCACTATGTAGTTGAGACTGACCTGGAACTCACTGTGTAGCCCAGGCTGGCCTTGAACTCACAGGGATCCAGTCTCTGAATTCTGGGATTACAGGCATGTGCCATCACAACCGGCACAATATCCAAACGATCCTCTCCCAGCTGAGACTCCTAAGAGTTGGCACTCTGAGGTCAGACAGCCTGGCTCAAATCCCGTCTCCATCCTAATTGTCTGTGTGGCCTTCAATGAATTACTTAACCTGTCTGTGCTTCACTTTCCTCATCCTCAAAGCACTACCTTCTCTGGGGGCTTCTTGTAAGGAACAAGTGAGGGCCTTCTGGGCAGACCCCAAGCCTGGCACACGGTGACACCCTGCCCTGCCGGTGACCCCGATTCTCCCAAGCTCAGCCTACCGCGTCTCTGTTCTGACATAGTCGCAGGGGTGGCTGTGGAAAACCCGGTGAGATCATAGCCCCACCGCCCCCCACCCAGGCAGAACCGGAGCTCAACCGCTCTTTACCCGTCCCTGTGCTCGCCGTGATGCCCCGGGGCTCCGGAAGGGGGCGCCCATGCCCCGGGACGGAGGCTGTCCCAGAAGCCACAGCCCCAAGCCGCCGGTTCGCCTCTGGGAACAAGACCAGCAAACGCCCACAAAAATGTTCCACACTCAGCAAGCCGCGAAGTCTACCCTTTCTGCGTTTTTAGAATTTTGTTTATTTCTCTTGGTTGTCTGGGTGCAAACGGACTCCTTTCTCTTCTCAAATCGCTCCCGGCTGGTGCAGTCCAGGCAGCCCCACCCGTCTGTCACCCACCGCAGAGCCAAACCGCACTCCTCCCCGGGGGCCAGCATCGCCCCGCCAGCGCAGCCTGGTCTCCTTTCCTCTCCTCCCAGCAAACACCTCAGGAGGTGCCAGCCCGCTCCACGCATCATCCAGGCCAATGCCACACTTCAGCGTAACACCACTGTTCTGTCCAACGGGAGAATCGACCCACACAGCCCAGGCAGCGGTGGGTTAGGTGAGTTAATCACACAGTTAAGGTGGAAATCTTCTGTGATGTCTTTAAAAATAATATGGGCCAGGTGTGGTGGCACACGCCTGTAATCCCAGCACTTGGGAGGCTGAGGCAGGAGGATCGCTGGGAGTTTGAGACCAGCCTGGACTATGTAGTGAGTTCAAGGCCAGCCTGAACTATATAGTGAGACCCTGTCTCAGAAAACACACATACATATTATTGTGATCAAAATATGTGGTGAATGCTTCAATTTAAAAATTTGTCACAATGAAAGGTACCTTGCCATAGATCCCTCTCAAAATCCTCCCCTTTGTTTTAAACACACTTGTGGCATTGTTCTTGCTACTTTCTGAAGCAGTTCTGGAGTTCTCTTTGGTGAGTTTCTTCTTGAAATGTGATCCAAACATGGTGAATGTCGTGGGTGCCATCCAGCAGAAAGGCAGCTCATAAAAACACAAGGCTGTGCCCATCCACCTCATCCCCCAGATCTGGCATCCCGTAACTTCTGGCTCTTCCCCAAAGTCAAGATGACCGGAAAGGTCAATGTTTTGAATCAATTTAGGACAGGGAGGCAGCCAGGACAACACCATTAAAGACCCTCAGGAAAGAGGACTCCGGAGCTGCTTCAGAAAGTGCAAAGATGGTGGGATCAGTGCACTTAAAAGCGAGGGCAGAGAGGGGATAGATAACACGTTTTACTGTATTTAATGTTTTAAAATTTTAAATATTCTACCATATTTTTCTACCACACATCATAGATATGTGTTGAGTGCCAAGATGTTTGCAGTATCTTTTTTAAAAAAATCTAGTTACAGGGGCCAAGGATTTAGCTCAGTGGTTCTGTCGCCTGCCTGGAAATCTCAAGGTCCCAAGTTCAATCCCCGGTACCAAAAACAAAACACAACAAAAATCTAGTTACAGAGCCATGGTGCCACATTTCCATTTTAAAGGTATATTTGTGATAGAAAACTTAATAGATTACATACAAAATAGTTGCAGTGACTTTCTGAAAAGCAGATGCATGGGTGATTTTAATTTGGTGGGAGTTTGTGTTTAAAATGTACACTCTACATTTTTAAAACAAGATAAACCTATTACAACTTCGGTAATAAGGGAGAAAGCTCTTTTATCACCAAAATAGAGACAGCCGTGTAAGGCATGAGGCAGCCCAGCAGCACCTGAAGAGTAAGGAGCAGCTCTTGATGGCTCTCCGGTGTCTCCAGCTGGCTCAGCACACGCCTGTGTCAGCCCAGCTGTGGGGCTGTGGGGGGAGACAAGTTGGCGCATCGGAGTAATGGGGCCGTGGCGCTGTCTTCTCCCAACACAGCCCCTCCAAGCTCTTGCGGACATGGCAGGGCCCTGCCTCACGCTCCCCAGGAGCAGGTGTCTCCTTCTGCCCTGTTTGCCCCGAGGTTCCCCAGGTCCTGCTCCCTGTGTTGGACGCTTGGGCCCTTGTGCTCTGGACCAGTGCCATTTGGGGCCACTGCAGTGAGCCTGGGCACAGGGTCTGGCTGCAGTGTTTGGGTCCCTGGCTCTGTACCCCGCCCCTGGCTGGGGGTGCACCAAATGGAACGGGTGTAGTGGCAGCTCTCTGTGACCCCCAACTCTAGGCCTCCCTCTTTGTCCTGCTCAGCAAGGGTCTGGCTACCGTGTCACCTGCCTGACTCTCAGGGAACTGGGGTTCTTATCCAGCCCCCCAGCCCTCCTCTGCCTGCCCCCAGACCCAAGAGAGCTGAGACACCCAGGGCTTTGCCCCCTGGGAGAGGGGACCTGGGTACTGCAGCTCCGCACCTAGGGACCCCAGAAATGGGAACGGCGGCAGGCGCCTCTCCCACCCTCAGCCGGTGCAGCTCCAGACCCAGGAGAGACCCAGGGGTCCTTACCGTGAGGGTCCAGCGGGCTGGGACAGCCACCTCACTTCCTGGGAGCAGAGGGGAGGCTGGTGTAGCCTGTGGGGAGCGGAAGCCACCCCCAGCGCCGATCAAAGTTCTAGGCAGTGGTTCCGCCCCGACACGGCCTGAACTTTCCCAGAATGTCACCAAGGCCACTGCACAAGATTACAAAATGACCTCCAGCTGCTCAGGCGATCAGAAGTCTGGAGGGCCCAGTCCCACAAAGGTGCACGCAGGTGGTACCATTAGGGTCTGAAGAGGGGCTAGAGTGCACCCCCTCACGCTCTGCTGGGTGAGGCTGGGCCCAGGAGCTCACCACATTTGTAAACAGGGGCCTGAGGACCCCCTCAGCCAGCAGCACCCCCACTCATCTGCCCAGCTCTGACCAACCAACCCAGGAGGAAAGCCCCAAGAGGGCGTGGCCCTGTGTTCTTCCTGCTGATTGGTCCATTTCACCAACGTCAGGGAAGCCTTTCTGGATTCCCAGGGGGAAAGAGTTACAGGAAGTGAATTTGTCCCAATATGAAGTGGGATGCTTTCACCAAAGACCACCCAGAAACACAAGCAGCACCTTTGGGATGTAGGGATGCACCCATCTCTAGAGGTATCCAATCTGTAGGGTGAAGTAAGCGTGCAAGTATGTGTGTGTGTGCCTGTGGTGTAAGGTGTGCAACGTTCAGGGGTAACCAAAAGTAAAAATAGGTCGCTATCAATGACAGGAGTCTAACATTCCAAGTAGTATGATGGCTTCTTTTATTTTTAAAAATTATTTATTTATTTATGGGCAGCAGAGTAACCCAGGTTGGCCTCGAACTCGTGGTGACGCTCCTGCCTCAGCCTCCCAAGTGCTAGGATCACAGTGTGTGTGCCACACGCCACTCAGTCTGAAGGCTTCTAATCTGTGCACAGTATCAATATTTACATCACTCTTCACCAGTTCGAAGGACCGCTGCGCAGGTGGGCAGACTGCATCGAGGCCAGTTCCACACTCACGACCAGCGGAGGACAGCGGAGAGTGCCCGGCCCCACCCCGTGACACCCAGGGCAGCTGTCGGCTCTGAGCAGCTCTTGGCTGACCTCACCTCGTGTGTGTGTGTGTGAGATTAAACCAGAGGCCTGTAGGACTGGAAGGACCCCGGGCGTGCTGCGTGTGTGCAGAGAGATGTGCATTGAGGAACCCTGGACACTTCCAGAGCAGAAGTGATAAACCCGCCCCCAACCCCATCACCCAAGCTCCCAGATGCCCATCCAGTGGTTGGGGGGGCAGCAAGTCACCGCCCCACTGTTGGAGGGGCACGGCCCTGGAATATAGAGAATATTACTGACCCCTGTCCTGACTCAACCTCCTGGGCCAGACGTTCAATTGACAGGAGCATAAGAAGTCTGTGAAGCCAAGCAGGGTGGCGCAGGCTTATAAGCCTGGTGCTCTAGTAGGCTGAGGCAGGAGGGTCTCAAGTTGGAGCCCGACCCGGGCAACTGAGCAACTTAAGATCTTGTGTCAAATGTAAAAAGTAAAAATAAGAAAAGAATGGGGATATAGCTCAGTGCAGAGGCCCTGGGTTCAATCCCCAGTACTGAAGAGAAAAAGAGAGAGAGAGAGGAGAGAGAGAAGAGCTGTGAGGACCCAGAGTGCAGACCTGCTCCTGGCAGGACAGTGGGGTCCGGGACTGGAAGACACCTGACCCCAGTGGCAGCCCTGGGCCCAGGAAACCTGAAGGAGGGGACCCCAAGCCATGTTCCCGGGAACACCTCAGTCCCCAAGGGGACTTGGAGCCTGGAGCAGAACACAGGTGAGAGCCCAGAGGGTGCCAGCCCTTGGCCCCAGGCCACAAGTGCAGTGTGCGTGTGTGTGTGTGTGTGTGTGTGTGCGTGTGTGTGCGTGTGTGTGCGCACAGGTGTGCGTGAGCTGGGCCTTCTTCATGCAAAGACAGATCCAGCCTGGGAGTCCAGAAGCCAGGGCCGTACACCAGCTCGGCTGCTAATTCACAAGGTAACAGGAAGTTCGTGTCCCACTGATAGCTCACTTCCCTCATCTTTAAAATGGGTTGAGTCTGTTTTCTTCCTTTCTTTGTTTTTTGAGCCAAAGTTTCACTCTGTAGTTCAGGCTGGCCTTGAGTTCACTTATGTAGCCCAGGCTGGCTTCGAACTCACTGTGATTCTCCTGCCTCAGCCTCCCGAGTGCTGTTGGGAATCACGTGGCCGTCTCGGAAGAGTTCTAAGAACTTGGTTGTGCCTCTGAGTCCTCAGAGGAGGAACCGAAGATGCAGCCAGCAAGCCCAGGAGAGGTCTGGTGCAAAGGTTGGAGAGACACACGAACTCAGTGCAGATCTTTCAATGTGCAAAATCACAAGCCAGCAGTCGCAGGCCGCACCCCAAAGGCGGTGCTGGTTCTCACACCTCGGTTTCCAAGGGTTCAAAGCAGAGTTCAGCAAGAGCTCTGGGGGCACCATGTGAAGGGATGCCAGCCGAGTGTGGGGGCGCAGCCTGCAGTCCCGGCCTTTGGGAGGCAGGAGGATCACCACAAGCTCCAGGCCAGCCTGGACTGCATCTCAAGACTCTCTGAAAAGCAAAATGAAACCAAGAAACTGGTGGTCCTGCCTGTCTTTTCAGCCCCTTCCCTCCAACCTGATCCCAGCCTCCACATCACACGAGGCCCCTGGTGACCGCACACTGCCCCCTATTCCACTCTCCGGGGGCCATGCAGCAGCCCATTCCAGCCCCAAGAGCAGGACACAGGCGTTACCCCTTAGGGGGGAGGCTCCTGGCTTGTCCCAACACCCTGGCCAGGTGACACTTCCCAGGAGGGCGGCCCCATGACACATCTGGCCGCTCACTGGCAGGAAGGACAGGTGAGCACCAAAGGCTCCCAGAGAAGTCCCTGCCTACACCCAGCTGGGGTGACACAGCTGTCCCCAGGGCAGCCTCAAGGCTGGCAAGGGTGATAGTGCAGTGTCACGCCAGGCACTTCCTGTCGAGACCCACAGGGCCCCCAGGGTCCCTACCTCCTCTGTCCCTGCACGGCTCGTGCCTGGGCAGTGAGATGCACACCCAGGTCACAGGAAGCCCTGGCAGTGCTGGGCCTGAGGGACAAGGACCAGCTCCAGGGCCACACCACAGGCCACTGTAGCATCCAGGGCCCTGGTGGATTTGGCACATGACCTTCAGATGCCACAGCTGTTTAGAAACACTTTGTAGGCCCAGATGTGCCTTGGGGCTGTGATATATTTTGAGTGATACCAGGGCCCCAGAAAGGGATAAAATGTGAAGCACACTGGTTCTTATAAGCAAACATCCTTTCCTGGCCCTTCAGGGTCAGGGTACAAGATAGGAGGCCTGGTCATCCTGCCGCAGGGAGATTTCTTACTTGTCTTTTACAATAGAGGGAGCTAACATCGGTATAAGCCCATTAGGGAGCCAGGTGTGGGGGAGTGTGTCTATAATCCCAGCACTTTGGGAGGCTGAGGCAGGAGGATCCCAAGTACAAGCCCAGCTTGAGCAGTTTAGCAACTTAGAAGACCCTGTCTCAGAATTAAGGGCTGGGTGTAGCTTAGTTCAAAGGTCCTGGGTTCAAGATCCCATACCAAAGGAAAATAAAAAGCCCACCATGATAGGGAGATAGGTTTCCAAATCCCTGTAGTAGCTGAAGTTTTCCTGGGTGGCAGAGACCTGGAATTCTCTGACGCCACTGTTTTTACTCCTGAACTACAGCTGTCTAGAGAAAGACACCCATTGCCTCAAGCAGGGTTTCGCTTTCCGGAAGTAGACACTGAACCCCAGGACTCATGCACACTACGAAAGCTACCATGAGCCCATCCCCGGGCAGGGCCTCATGAAGTGGCCCCAGCTGTCCTCAAATTCAGGATCCTCCTGCCTCAACCTTCTGGGGAGCTGGGACTACAGGCATGAGCCACCGCGCCTTGCCAGCATGACATGTCTGTAACATGTATGAACATGTATGTAGTGGGAAGGGCAGTATGTGTGAGGAGGAAGAAAGCCCTGGCGCCCACGGCACGTCCCAGACCTCGGCAGAAGGCACTGAGGTTTCACTGCCAGCTGACTCATGCCCTGGAGACCTCACCACGGCTTAGCAGGGCTCCGGCTTCCCCTTAGATGCGGACATTCAGGGAGAAGATCTCATCTGTGAGCTATTTCGCTTCCCCCATACGGAGGTGAAAATTGCAAACAGATACAGGCGCGCCATGCCCATAAAAGGCTGGGAGAGCCCTCCGCTGAGTGTGGCCCATGGCAGGAGGGGTGTGGGAGCCTGGGCCTCTGTGCTTGGCCACTGACCATGCTGGCCCGGGCAGATGTGACCTCGGGTCTCAGGGTTAACATGCTCACCTGTCCGGGCCGGGGCCTCGGTCCTGTCCATACCCACAGCTGCTCCTGCATCCCCAGCTGCTGGCCTCTCACAGGGCTGGCTCGGGCGTCAGTGATGAAGCCCAGTCCCTGCGTGGAGGACACTGCCAACAGAAGGCCACGGCTCAGTAAAATCTGGGGACAGGGATCCTGGTGACGTTGTTTCTTTCTCTTTCTCTCTGTGTGTGTGTGTGTGTGTGTGTGTGTGTGTGTGTGTGTGTGTGTGTGTGTGTGTGTTTTGAGAGAGTTTCATGATGTAGCCCAGGCTGGCTTTGAACTCACAGCGATCCTCCTGCCTCAGCCTCCCGAATGCCAGGATTCCAAGGTGTGCCACCACGCCTAGTGACACTGTCTCTTGGTCTGATGTGGATTACACGGATCTACAGCGCTCGTGGCACCCATACAGCTGCACACAATCACACCCCGCTTCCTGGGGTGAATACTAACTGCCACACAGATCAAATACGAAAACACTCGTGGGGGATGGGAGGCACCTAGGGCACTAGGTTTCCTTCTCCACCCAGGACCAGTCGGCTGCATTAATGTTTTTAGAAGTCAGAAACTAAATCATTTTATTCCGTAAAGGTAACAGTTTCCAAGTGTGGAAGTTCTCTCTAAGGCCGAGTCTGTCGGTGCTCCTGCTCCAGGTGACAGTCGCCGGAATGAAGCAGAGGACAGCTGGGCCGGAGGTGGCCGGGCTTCCAGCTGCCGATGGAAGAAACCCGCAGCCTGGTTCTCCGCCCTCCTGGGGAGAGAGCCCGCTCTGCCTTGAGAAGCAGAAAATCAAGGGCAGAATTTTCATCTGAGGGGACAGCGCGCAGGAGAGAAGCGAGGAGCAGGGAGGTGGACTTCTGGAGCCCCGAGGAGGGGCTGTCCCAGGAGAGCGACCCCGCGGCCGGCCAGCGGGCTCTGCAGGCACCGCGTGTGGCCAGGGCAGGGGCAGCTGTTCTTGGGGAGGAGGTGGGGACCACGCATGTGACCCGGGGGTCCGCCAGACTTGCCCAGGGCCCGGCGGATCTCGCTGGAGGACGAGGTCCCCGCAGACGCGCTTCTCCCGGAAGCCTGGCTGCTGCGTGGCCCGGGGCCTGGGGCAGGCCGGTCGCAATGCCGGGCCCGGCCCGCCTCCCTAACACTCGTTGGGGGCCTTCATCTGCATCACGACCGCCTGGCTCCTCTTCTTGCAGCAGCAGCAGCAGATGCAGGCGGCGCGCGAGCAGGCCAGGGCCACGATGCCGATGACGATGGCGGCGATGGCCAGGCCGCTCGTGCTGTCCGAGTCCCGGGCGTCGGTGCCCCCGATGGTGGTCAGGTCGGTGGAGTCGCCCGCAGCGGCGGTCTCCGTGGCGGTGGGGGACACGGCCGTGATGTCGTCATAGCCGGGCGTGTCCGCACCCGGGTACCGCGGCGTCTCGGGGTAGACGCGGGGGTCTGGGGGGGCCTAGGCGCTGGGCGCGGCGACGTTGACGCTGATGATGACGAGCGACTGGCCTCGGACGTCGGCCGGGCTGGAGCACAGCGGGACGGCGTCGGTCCCCAGCCGGGCCCTGTTGACCAGGAGCCAGTTGCGGAGCGGCAGGATGTCCGCGTCGCACCGCCAGGGGTTGTCCTGGAGCTGCAGCTCGCACAGGTTGCCCAGGTGGTCGAAGATGCCCCGCGGCAGGTTCTCCAGCTGGTTGTTCTGCAGCTGGATGGTCGTGAGCCCGTTGACGTGCGCGAAGAGGTTGCCCGGGAGCTGGCGGAGGCGGTTGTTCTGCAGGGACACGTTCTGCAGGTTGGCCAGGGCGCGGAACACGCTCCCGTCCAGCTCCTGCAGCGCGTTGGTGTGCAGCGACAGCTCGCGCAGCTCCGACAGCCCGTTGAAGGCGCCGGGGGAGACGAAGCTGATCTGGTTGCGACTGATGATCAGCACTTGCAGCTGGCGCAGGTTGCTGAAGACGTTGTCGGGCAGGGTGGAGATGTGGTTGTCGTACAGCCAGAGCTCGCGCAGGTTGTGCATGGGCCCGAAGACGCCCGGCGACAGCTCCTTGAGGTTGTTGCCGAACAGCGTGAGCCGGTTGAGCTGGGGCAGCTGCATGAAGATGCCGGGCGGCAGCTGGGAGATGTGGTTGTTGGACAGGTAGAGCCGCTGCAGGTTGCGGTTGTTGTGGAAGAGCCCGGGCGACAGCGTGCCGATCTGGTTCTGCTGCAGGGCCAGCTCCTGCAGGCTGCCCAGCCCGTCGAAGGTGCCCATGGGGATGTCGGCCAGCCTGTTCTCGTACAGCCGTAGCACCTGCAGGTTGCCCAGGTGCTGGAAGGCACGCGGCGACAGGTGGGTGAGGCTGTTCTTGCCCAGGTTGAGCTTGGTGAGCCCCACCAGGTGGTCGAAGGCGCCGTCCGGGATGTACTCCAGGTGGTTGCCGTGCAGCTGCAGCTCCTTGAGGTTGCTGAACTGCGAGAAGTGGGCCGGCTGGATCTGCACCAGCTGATTGCTGGACAGCAGCAGCGACTCGAGGTTGTCCAGGCCCTGGAAGAGGCCGACGGGCAGGACCTGCAGCTTGTTGTTGGCCAGGCTGAGGTAGCGCAGCGAGCCCAGGTTGCGGAAGGTCCCGGGCAGGATGCTGGACAGCTCATTCTTCTCGATCCGCAGGGCGACCAGGGCCGAGGTGTTGAGGAACGGGGCCTCGCTGAGCTCCGTGATGTGCGTGTTGAGGATCTGCAGGCTCATGGCGTTCCAGGGCAGGGGCGTGGGCACCACGGCGATGCGCGCACCCGTGCACTCCACCTGCGAGGCCCGGGAGCAGGTGCACTCGCTGGGGCAGCCGTAGTAGGCTGAGGCGGCAGCCCAGGCCTGGCAGCCCGCCAGCAGGAGGAGGTAGTGTTTCAGTGGCATGGCCTGGGGAGGGCGAGAGCTCAGCTTTAGTCAGGGCACCCAGCCAAAGGCACTGTGGTTACCAGCTTGTTCGGTCTTTGTTTTCCTTTGAGACAGGGACTCACTATGTAGTCAAGGCCGGTCCTGAACTCAATACATAGCCCGCAAAAGCATAGCGACCCTCCTGTCTCAGCCTCCTGAGTGCTGGGCTCACAGGCATGTGCCATCGCACCCAGCTTCCCGAGGCTACTTTTAAACCAACATCAAGCTTCAGTTTCAACAGGGGCTCGGCTGGAAACCCTGCCATCTGCACCCCCCCATCCACTGCCCAGGCGGCCACCACACTCAGGGGCTCCTGGTGCTCCTCTAGGCACCCCCGGCTCGTAAAGTGGGATGGCCTCTCTTCAGCTAGGTGCTTGCAGCCAAAGCCAGTGAAGCCCGACAGGAAGGGTAGGTGAGGAGATGGACCTGCCTGCACCATGGCCTTCATCTCACTGTGTAGCCCAGGCTGGCCTCAAGCTCGAGACCTTCCTGCCTCAGCCTCCAGAGTGCTGAGATTCCAGGTGTGCGCTGCCAAGCCTGGCTAGTGCTCCAGTTTGACCTTGAGTTTGACCTTAAAGCCTGAGGCCTCTGAGCTTCAGCTTCCTTGTCTGCTGGGGGAGACTGCTGACTCCGCCCACCCCCAGTTGTTGTGGGCAGCAAAGGAGAGAAGAGAGGGGAGCCGCGGCACAGGATGGTGCCCAGCACCCCTGGGCTCAGCTGGGGCTCAGGAAGAGCTCAGGGTGCTGCCATCCCACCCTGCTAATGGAGAGATACGGGGGGAGGATTCCCGCCTTCAGGCTACAGGGCCTGAGTTCAAAGGGCCCAGGCCTTCTGCCGGCCAAGGACTAAGGAATGGGGGAAAAATAAGAGAAAGGGCCAGGCGTGGTGGCACACGCCTAAAAACCCCACACTCGGGAGGCTAAGGCGGGAGGACTGCCCAAAGTTTGTGGCCAGCCTGGGCTGCATAGGGAGACCCTTTTTCAGAATAGGAAAGAGAAACAGAGAAAGAGAGAGAAGAGAGAGAGAGAGAGAGAGAGAGAG